CACTATTAAACTAATATTAATATTATTTACAATAAACAATTAAATTAATATAATATTTTGTTAATTAAACTCAAAAAGATTAATATTTGATAAACAATTTGATTTTCTATTAAATTATTAATACATAGATTCATGTGATTTTTTGAAAGAATAACCTGGTCACTCTAAAAAAAATCAGACGCGTCTGATTTTTGGCCAAGCCTAGTTTTGCGTATATTTTGTCTATAGATATTATAATATAATGCAAAATTGAATTTACAGTTCTATTAGGGTTAATAATTGCAATATACCTTTGTTTTTCACTATTTGTTTATTTTAATATAATTTTACATTTTGCATATTGCAATTGTGATTTGAATCTTAATTAATATATAGTATTTAAATTTATTTTTAAATATACATATAATACTATTCTATAACAATAATCACCTAGCCACGTTTCCGTTTCTTAGCCCCTGAGCCGCCACCGCCGCCACTGCACCCATACATAGTGTTGAGGGCCCGGGCGTCCAATGAGCTCATACTGCGCCTATTGTTTTGTGCCGATAGCCGGACACCACGTTGTTTGGCAGTCATCGTGTATTTGCCGTTTTTACTGAAATCCTTTGCCCCATAAATCATGATTGACTGGTAGTCAAAGCCAACATACAGATGGTTCGCCGATTTGGACACTTTGTCATACTGTGATGACATACCCCGAGCGATGTTTTGCCAGTGAATGGTCAGGTAGTTGTCCCGATCGGCCCGACTCTGTTCGTGGTAAAAGCCCAGCGTATGTAGTATTTCATGCGTAGCCACCCCTACGTAATGACACCCATAGCCCAGCGATAGGTACTGACGGCCCCCTGTTTTGCCGATTGATGAATAGCACCTGGGTTAAAATTGGCATATAATTTAACCCAGTTTTAAACATTTTCATACAGGTAGTTTGAAAATTATTTTTACCCTTGTCCTTTAAATAGTTGCAAATAATCATGTTGGTTAGTCCGCTGTTTAAACCGCACACACGATTGTGCCTGTATGTTTTTCATTGCTTGATTGATAACTCTACGTTGCGATGCTATATGGTAATAAAAATATGAGCTTGTTAATTTATAATTATAATCATTACATTGTTTATTGATGTCATACACAATGAGTTATCGATTTGATAGTAAACAATACCGTTTGGCCACAAAACGGTGCGTCCGTACGATCCGCTTGACGAAACCTTTTTGTGCGTATTTCTCTTGTTTTGTTTCATTTGTATTATAACTTCTGTTAAGTAATAAATTAATGTTTAAAAATAAATTTAATTATTTAATAATATAAAATTTTACCTCCATTTATACTAAACATGATGTAACAAATTATTATAAATAATAAACTATTTATCATATTAGTTTTATTGTATAATTAAAATATTTAATTCATCTACTTAATAGTTGAATATTACAATACAGTATATTACATTTATCGTTTGAAACTAGATTTATAATTTACAATAGTTTACATTCTTGGAATAAGTTTGTTATTTAATTTAAAAGTTATATATTTTTAATTACAAAGAAAGCATCACATTTCTAAATCACAGTAAATGTAACCAATATTAATGAATCAATAAATTTATATTTATTCAGTTGTTTAAAACTACACTTATGTTATTTACATAATATTGAAGTACATTACTTATTTCACAATGTTAATTTTTGTTGTATTGTTAACATACTGTTTGCATTATGTCAAAATATTAAATTTGGACATTTATGGTTATTCAAATATTTATATTTAATAATTTAATAGATTATTAATATTAAATTATAATATTGTTTTAATTTTTACAAATAATATATTTGTAACATCAAAACATTATATTTTAATATCAATCGAAACATTAATTATAATTTATTAAAATAATTTCAAAATCGCGTTAAAGTTAATCTTTATAAATGTGCATTATATAATTTCACAACAAAAAGTATATTAAGTGAAATTATACGCTCAAAGTTTATAATAGTCTCCCACATAAGTCATGTCATAAAATATTTCCCATATCATAACAACATAGCACACAATCAGACTATATGTCAATAAATAAAACAATGACTTTAACTCAAACATCGTTAGGGGTTCGTAGGGGTCAACCGGAGTAGCGTAAAAGTCGGACATTATTAGACCAAAATTGTCGGCAATTGTTACCACGTTTTCGAAATAATATTGCCCTTTCATTGCGTACATGTGCTGAAAAAGCGACGCCTCGTATAAACGCCGTGTGCTATCATAAGGAATATAAAAAGTCTGTTTTAATAAATGAGCAGGATCTAATTAAAGATTTTAAGTTCAATAAAAACAAATATAGTAATTTCAAGTACATTAACTCAGCCTCATTAATAAACTTAAACGATGGTCCGTAACAGAGAGGTGTTATGAGCACCGGTAGGTAGGATTGGCCCGAATGAATGCGTTCAAATCGGGGCGCGTATGGCAACAATTGGTCCATCATATACTGGTCGGCAACGAATACTATGTTTTTAATGAAACTGTGAAATCCATCTGGGTCATCTTTGAACGATTGAAACTTGTCTGGCCAGGGTGGTCTATCATACTGCCTAACCCTATTTGCAAACTTAATAAATGTCTCTTTAAAAGTGTTGTTCTCAAAGTATTTAGTAAATTCGTCCGAAGCCCACTCCTGGGCCTTGTAGTGATCGGTCAACACCACAAGCCTATCATCCAATAGATCCTCAATAGTGTCGGCGCACGTGTCAGGTCTGGCCACCATTTTTGCCAACAACTCGTTGCGAATCACTTCCACCACTGGTATCAACGATATAAGCCATAGGATATACATATAGTTCCGGTGCCCGAGATTCTCGCCGATACCCAACAGTGGCTTAAAGTATATCCACGCAACATAACCCACCTGGTTGTACCCCGTAACCAAGCTGCTTTTCGCTATTGTTGCAATCTTATTGGTCAACAAAAGCATTATAAATACGCTAATTATGACAAACCAAACCCTGTATTCATAACACTTCCAAATGTCTATACTGTCGGGCAGTGATTGCTGTACTTTAATGCTCATGAATACCAAGTTATCGGCCATATACAGGGGTCGGATGCAGTTTAACGGCCTTGATCCATTAGTGTCCGTTCGCCACAAATAGTTCATGGGTGACCAGTCCGGGCCCGTAACGAGCCCTGTACTCACCTGTTTGTGCTCATTTATACGCCTGTCCGGACAGTTGTACGCATACAGATGTACACTATTTGATATTAGTGTCATTAAAACGCAAATATTTATTACATCACTATGCTATTACAATTAGCAAATATTAATATTACCTGTAATTAACTAATTTACCAATCTCAATCAGCACTGGCACGATTAATGAGCTATAATAAGCCGAATTTTCACCCTCAATCTCAAAGTACTCTTTCTATAAATAGCAAGGTATTAACATGTAATGTAATGATCATGCAAATAATTAACAATTTACATCGAAGTATTCAGCCATCAAATAAAATGTATTGTTTTTATGCGGAAACGGGTCGTCGGGTATACTATAGTTGTCATACATTTTATACTCGCATCCAATATAAGTCATGTTAGTATTGTTGACATATTTTTGCCAATAACCCAATGGATGTGTTTCTATCCATTTGTATACATCAACCCCTTTTAATAGATCCTGGAACGACATTTCCAGCTAGTTTTAAATGATATGATTATCACCAGTAATAGTAAATTTTACAAATAAAATATTTATTTTGTTTTATAATATAATTAGATTCATTATTAATATTTATGATGATATTAATATTTAATAGCAAATTTTTCCAAAATGTATATATTATCAATATATTGCTATTAATATTTATTAATGTAATCACATGGTAATATAATATTTTGAATCACTGCTATTCTGGACAATAAGAAAATTATAAGAAACTCTTATACAAAATAATTAATTTGCAATTTTAATGCATATCGATTCAAATTGTATAGATTACTACAATAAAACACCTTAATGTAATAAATAATAAAACTTAACAAATGGCACCGTTAACCAGTTTAAAAATTCTAATGAGCTTAAATGGTACCCACGAGTGTGACCTGGCGCGTTGTGTCAACATGCATTATGTCAAAATATTAATTTGGACATTTATGGTTATTCAAATATTTATATTTAATAATTTAATAGACTATTATCTAATATTAAATTATAAATTTTAATTTTTAATTTGTATTTTTTAAGTTATAGATTAAGATCATCAATCAAAACATTACTTATAAGTTATAATTGTTATATTATTTAACAACTAATTTTAACTTATTCTTTTTAGATTGAGATTACACTTAAATTAATTTGCGATGAATAATTTGAACATTTATTTAAAATAATAAAAAATTACATAATTGTAATTGTATTTAAAACATAATTTGTAAAATAATTAAAATAAATTTTAAGTAAAGTTTAAGGTAAATAATGTTTACAATTTGTAAAACAGAAATTCATTTCATAATTAAATGAATTATAATTTATAATAAAACATATGATTAAAAACAGACAGAGATTGATGTTTATTATGACGGCCGGAGTCATGGGTGCGACAGTAGGTGTGAATACAACTCCCGGTGCCATCACTTAGTATTGCCTAACAATGGAGTAAACAATTGAAAATAATTGTAAATCTAATTAGATTTTAACTGCAATCTATTTATTTATACAATTTTACCTTATTTTTTAGATGCAATTTTGTTTAATATGATGTATGACTTATTAGCTGTTGCATTAACCGACGATACAGTGATTATGATAGCAATAAAACCACCACAGTAAAGTATAAAGCCATAGATTAATAGTAATCTAATTAAAACGATCATCTCGGTCCAAATAATTGTGTACAATAGGAACACAACACCCATACCAAGTGTAAGCCAAACCGATAGCAAATATTTAGACCAATAAGTGGTGTTGTATTCATTTATCTCAACATAAATGCTATTCAATGATCCGATTATTACCAGTAAATTGGGTATAGTTTTTGCTGATATTATTTTGATGTTGATTACATGGATCTTACTTTTTAGATAATCGGCCATAATATATAAATATATAAATGACCATGATAAGCAATTAATTGCATTGAAAGTAACCAATGTAAACAATATAGCATTTGGTACACCAAATATCAATGTTGTAATTATTGGTTTATACAACGCATAGGGTATTAAACATAACAAACCGATGTTTTGCGACATATAATTGCAGATAAAATGATTGATTTTGAATATTTTTGTCGCTGTTTTGACGAACCGATAGAGGGATTGGGGGTCCGATAGACCCACGCTTTGAGGGGTGACTAATCCCGAGAGCATCTGAAATATGCGCAAAAATGACGGTCCAATTCCGTAGAAATAGTTATATCTGAATATTAATTGGCAAACAATGCAAAACCAAATGCCAATAATTATAACCATTTTCATGTGAACACCGGCGCCAATCATATGCGAAAAATCGCCAAATACTACAACCAATGCTTCATTTTGACCATCATTTATAATGCCAATCAAGCAAAACAACACGGTCAACGAGTATACTATAGCGGTACCTGTGGGCGAATAGTACCATGGCCGTTGTGTTAGTATTTTAGGCTCGAATAGGGATAAGCCAATTCTGTACAATTGATTTTCTGCCGATTTTATTCGCAATCTTTTGGGCAGTAATTGATTGCATTTGAGGACCGATCGGTCGCTTTTACCCCCTCTTTGTCGCCGCTTTCTCTTCTCCGATGTGTTGTTAGGCATGACTTCAATAGACTTATTATTGAGTTTGTGTTGAATATACTCTAATTCGGTGTTAATATGCGAAAAGTTTAATCAAATTTTACTATTCAACTGCTCGTGAGTTAAGACAGGTAATGCAATTATATTAAATATTTTTCATATTAGGTTTATTTAAAATTAATGTTGCTTCTAGAATATACTTCAATTATTTTTATATAAAACACAATAATTGGATTTATATTAAATGTGGTTTTATAATTGGATTATCAAACGATCATTATGAAATGTTCTTATATACAATAATTTAATAATACTGTACCATGAGAATGTTATTTGCTATTAAAATACTAAAAATTACTTAATACAGTATATATGAGTTAAGTTAATATATTAAATAGTTTTCAAATTAGATTTATTTAAAATTAATGTTGTTTTTAAAATATACTTCAATTATTTTTAAATAATTGAATTTGTATTAAAGTTGGTTTTATAATTTTCAAAATATTGTTTTATCACATATTTTTAATATATTGTGCCATGTGCATGGTAGTATGTATTAAATATATAATATTTAAAATTTCAAAAATTACCTAATAAATGCAATCATGGTGATTTATCACAAAATGTAACCTAATTTATTTTGTTTTTACCATAACTAAAAAAATCAACTATTATAATTTATATTTTAAATACATTAACTTAGATAATGAAAGTATATTTAATAAATTACTTTTCATAACAATCATAAATTTCATTAAAACACATTTAATATTTACTTACATAACTTACATAAATGTAAGCACATATTATTACATAAATTGTATCTTTTATTATAGTGAATTGTGCATGTTTGAAACACATTTTTTGTACGTGTCAATATAGATTTAAATTAAAGTATGGTCATAAAATAAAAAATTTAATAAAATTTACCTAAAATAATAACAATTAAATTAAAGTTATAGTAATAATAATTAAAACACAATTACCGACACAACTTAGACAAGTTTTTATAACAAAAATATTTTCAACTTAGCGAAAATTAATAAAACATATTATATTGGCCATTTAATAATGTGAGATAGTGGAGTAGTTCTCGTGCAGTTAGAATTATAAAATTAGCTTTATTATTTAGGTTTACATTTTTAGGTATCAGAATCTAACTCATAAACAATTTAAAAAATTGACAAATTTATTACGTGATATTTAATTATGCAATAGTTTACATAGCATAATTAACAATTATTTTAACAAAATACTTTAGACATAACAATAAACAAATTAACTTTTGGAATATATATCTTCAATGATCCAAATAATGAAACACATTGTTAAACTATAGGCAACGAAATAAAACAATGACTTTATCGTAGCCAACGATAAGGGTATGAAGCGTTCAACTGTAGGATCATAAAAGTCAGAAATGATTAACCCAGCAGCTTCTTCGGCAAGTTTAATCACGTTTTCAAAATAAAATTTCCCTTTCATTGCATACAAGTGTTGCAAAATTGCCGACTCGTACATACGTCGGGTGCTATTAGACCAACGATATAAGTAATTAATAAATATAACAAAACAAGTAATTAAACAAAATACATTAACTCGGCTTCCTTGATAAACTTGAATTGAGGTCCGTAACAGAGGGGTGTTATGAGCACCGGTAGGTAGGGTTGCCCCACATGTATGTCCGCGAACCGGGGAGCGTATGGCAACAGTATGTCCATCCAGTGCTGGTCCTGAACGAGTACCAAGTCTTTAGCAAAGTTACGAAACTTACCAACGTCGTCCTTTAGTGATTTAAACAACTCGATCATCTCAGGGCTGTCCCAATGCTTCACCTTATGTTTTGCAAACTCAATAAACGCCTCTTTAAACGTGTTGTTCTCAAAGTTGCCGTAAAAGTGATGCATTGCCCACTCAGTGGCCTTATGGCCGTCAGTCAACACCAGTAACCTGTCATCCAATAGATCGTAAATAGTGTCCGCATTTAAAGCACGTTTGATCACTAGGTTTGTCAACAACTCGTTGCGAATCACTTCCACCACTGGTATCAACGATATAAGCCATAGAATGTAGATATAGTTCCGGTGCCCGAGATTCTCGCCGATACCCAACAGTGGCTTAAAGTATATCCACGCGAAATGAAATATGGTAAAACGCTTGCCCTTACTACCTGTCATTTTATCACGTATTTTGTTTGAGATCTCGTGAATCATAAATAGCATAATAAACGCACTAATGATGGTAAACCAGACCCTATTTTCCACACCCCTCCATATTTCCATACTGTCCAGCGGTGGCAGCGGGACATTAACGCTCATGTATATCATATTATCAGACATATACAGGGGTCGGGTGCAGTTGAACGTGCGAATACGGTCTTGAGTTCGATAGATATAGTTCATGGGTGTCCAGTCCAGACCAGTCACTTGACCTGTTATCATCAATTTGTGTTGATTTATGTCCCCTCGACTGGGGCAGTTGAGTAAATACAAATGTGTACTTGGTCAAATATGAGATCATAAAAATTCATTTTAATTTATAGTATATTATAATGTTACAAAAAATAATGGCACAATGATATACTATCATACCTGTAATTGACTAATTTACCAATTTCAGTCAATACGGGTGCTATCAATGAGCTATAATAAACGGCATTTCCCGACTCAATCTCAAAGTTCTCTTTCTATAGAGATATACAAATATAAATTGTAGACTAATATTATAAATAATATAGCAATTGTTATATTAATTTACCTCATGGTCTTCAGTAACCAAATAAAATGTATTGTTATTTCTGGGAAACGGATCGTTAGTCTCGTTACTCCACATGTGGAGGTAAAGTTTATACTCGCATCCAATATAAGTTAGGTTTGTATTGTTGACATATTTTTGCCAATAACCCAATGGATGTGTTTCTATCCATTTCGTTACTTCAACGCCTTTTAACAAGTCTTTGAATGTAATTCCCATCTTGGTTTTAAATAGTTATTCAATTAACTAATAATTAATTATTCACTTTGAAATTTTCCAAAAAAACTAATATCCGTTTTAATATAATGGTAACTTAACATGGCATACAATATAAAATTTAGTAATATTAGTATTAAACAAATGAAACTATTATAAAATATTGGGAAATTTAATAACAATTTAATTAAAAAATAAAATATTTAATTATGCAATTTACATACAGTTGTTTCCTTAATTTTAATAAACGTACTGACATTGAAATATTAAATGTCATTTACAATATATCGCCTTATACTACAGGGCGCGCCGTATTATACTAGTAAACAATACAATATCGTAAACAAAATATAATCTATGTTAGTATAGATAGTAAACACGCAAATAATTAATTTTTGTTATTATTTCAGTAAAAATTTATTTTAATGAAATTATGTATGATCGCATGAAATGATCGATATGCATTAAGAAATTGTTATTATGATACATGTTTCATTTTATTTAATTACTAAAAATGTTGCATTTATGCTTAATTAATAAATGTATAATATGTGTGCTTCATTACTAAATTACTAAATATTATTACATATATATATTATATAATATATTACATTATAATTATTGAATACATTATATGCATTACAGATATTACCATATTATTAACATATTAGTACCATATTCAATAGCTTTATAGAGATAATTAAATTAAAACATTGTAAAAGTATGAACACATTGAGAAAACAATATTATAAAAGCACTTAAATCCAGATTTTAATAAAATTTTAACAAATAAAATTTCTAATCTAAAGGCAATTTAATTTATACGATCTCTTTAACATCTAGTTGTAATTATTTGAATTTAATTTTAATTAAATTTGTATGAATTACACTTTTTTAACTACCTGGTTTATTAATTAATTTAATGTCATTACACAAATAAATAACAAATAATTGAATAAAACGAAATTTAAGAAAGATAAACCTAGACATTATTTTTAAAATAATCCTGTTTAACTGTAATAATTGTTTTTTTGTGTGTAAAAACTAATTATTTCACGATAAGTATTGTGTTGCTAGAAAAAAATCATAAAATAATTATTATTTATAGTAAGGCTTTGGGTTTTTATTATATCAAAATATAAATTAATTTACAAACAATTTATAGATACAAATGATTATATTAAAATATTTTAAGGCTATATTATGGGAAGTACTATTACATTAATGATTTATAATTAATATTTTTACATGTTCACAAATTAATTTATTTTATGCATTTAACACATTTTCTTAAATAACAACTTAAGTACTAAAATAATATATTTAATCTATGAAATTTTCAATGTAAAGTTTCATTAAAAATTTCAATATTTATATTAAACATTAAATATAAAAATTTAGTTAAAATCATTTTAATTAATTTTAAATTTGATCTATGTGAATTATTTTTATTTAAGACCTAGGGTATTAATTAATTTAATGTTATATCATAAATCATCATGTTAACAAATTTTATATAAAATACTAGAGTTAAGGAATTGGAAACTAAAATTATTTACAATAATCTTTTAATCTATATTTAATTTTATAGTTATAATAGCCTTATATAATACTATTCAAAATAATTATTTTCCAATAAATGTTGGGTAATGGCACAATATTTATAAAATAATTGTTATAACTGTATTTAATTATGTTTTTAATTAATATAGAATTATTAATTCCATAATTATGTTTTTATAACGAGGTTGCAATTATTATTTTACGTAAATACAATAAAATAAAACTTGCTTTACTAAATATAATAATAAAATCAATATACATACAGTAATTATCGCGAAATTATTGCAATATTTCTAATACTTCTTAAATAACAAAATAATTTTATAATTAATACATCTCCCATGAATACATTTTAATATTATCATGTTTTAATAATCAAAGTTGGATTTATATCAGTTTATAGTATTAATTATGGCCAAGATCAAACCGCCAACATTTCAAGAACTATTGAAAGTGATTGATGTATACAAATGGATAGAAACACATCCATTGGGTTATTGGCAAAAATACGTCAACAATACAAACATGACTTATATTGGATGCGAGTATAAAACATATAACGACTTTCGTAAACCTAACGGTCCGTTACCTCAACAAGAAAATACATTTTATTTGATGGCTGAACCCGACGATGTAAACTATTATTAATAATATAATCATAGTCATTTTATTAAATAATGATCATATATTTATTCATAGAAAGAGTTTATGGAGATCGATGGTGGTAAAAGCGCGTATTTTAGCTCATTGATTACTCCAATACTACAGGAAGTTGGCAAATTAGTAAACCACAGGTTGTATTAGCATATAAAAATAATTACACATTATGTTTTTTAAAAACACTCAAAATTATAAACAATTTTATACAGTGTAAACTTGTATGTATTCAACTGTCCCAAAAGGGATATAAGTTTTCGCAAACTGACCGTCACGGGCCAGGCGGTCGGCCCGGACTACTCACCCATGGACTATTTATGGTTAACAATTAATGATGGGGTGCGGTTCAACTGCACCCGACCCCTGTATATGTCCAATAAAATGGTATACATGAGCGTTAATGTTCCGCAACCGATGGCAGATATTACTAGCATATGGAGGGGTGTAGAAAATAGAGTGTGGTTTACCATAATTAGTGCATTCATTATGCTATTCATGATCCACGAGATCTCAAACAAAATACGTGATAAAATAACGGATACTAAGG